TAGAGACATACAAAATTACTTAAGAAAAATCTACACCAGTGTATATATCTATTCATAGACAAAAATAAATCCATATGAATTGTTGCTATTTCATCATATATAAAAGTGGAGCCCAGGTTGAAAGGTGTGCTTTACATGTAACCCTGACATCCTGACTTCATAGTCTATCTTGTTTGTCCGACAAAATATAGACAAGAGGTGATCTTAAAAGCACTTCAGATTTGACAGACAAAAGTAAGCGCTCGAACGAACGAATGTGTGTATTTTTCTGTTTGTCCTTCTATGTATCTATTTATACATGTACTAGTGTATTAGTGCCGTCAAAAACGATGGCAGTTGTTAGAAAGTTTTAATAGTGAGATTCAATGAAACAAGTTTTGAAACAATGTATTAAAATTCAATAAAGCGGGGATAACGAATTCACAACTAAAATAGAAGTCAATGAAGCGTTTTATTAATCCATTCCCTTTAGAATTTCTAAACGTTCAATGGTATTTATGATCCATTGATTACTCCTGGTATTATATGAATCGCTTTTTACTCAATATCTTCTCATGATAAAAATTGTGGGTTTAAAATAACAGTGAAATGGAAATATCTGTCGGAATAAAAAGAATAGCAACAGAACGACAGAGACTACGACAACAAAGCCTATTTCAATATCAAGTTGAAGCCAGACGATCACTTAATAAACAAGTGTATCTGAGTGCCTCACATGGAAGGCTTGAACAAATAAAACTGTAATCTAAGAAACATAGGAGTAAAGGAACTTATTACGATTCATTTTGCTCGGGGACTAATTTTGTCTAAATACAGATAAGTATTTTATTTGTATAGATTATTAAAACAACTAAGAGTTGGTTTACCTCCCTTTTCACTTCAGATGCGACGGGAAATATATAAATAAATACACATTGATAATTATTATATAGTTTGATGTATTGGCCCGAGCTGAATTTGGTATAAAAATTAAGTTTATCATCGAAATTCTTAAGAACATTCTCAATGGTTTGTGAGATTAGTACACCGAGCTATACACCAGTGCGTATGACTTTTCCATCTTGTGGCGGCCGAAAGACACCCCCACCCCCCCAAAAATGGTCAGTGCGTTGTAGTTTCGCTTCATAAGCAATTATTAAACCACGTGTTCAATCATCACAACATATCATTGATTATGGCGCGAAACTGCAATTTGCAATGTAGCGTTCCTTTTTATGTCCACACTGTTTATGTCTATGTACGCTGGCTATCCGATAAACATGGCAAACAATATTTAAAGATGAGTTGGTGAAAATTTCTCGGCCTAATCCACTTACTTAATTGGACCAAACAATGGATTTTATTTTTTGGTGGGAGTGGATTCCTCCTTGGTAAGACCAAGAACTTTTCACGACACGCATGTGTGTATATATTAGGACAGGTTAGCTGTCAGTGTCATAAGTATTATGTGTGCACTGTTTATGATCAGTTTCGCTTCTCGTCACTTCTGCCTACAATCAATATAGTGTTTTTGCGGTCTGAGAAAAGACTTATATGCATGCATATATACACATGCACACAGAGAGTGTGAGAGAGAAAACAGCAAAACAAACGAAATTGGGCCTACGAACCGTCTGAGGATCGCTTCATAACGTGATACCTGAAGTCATGATGAATTGTGTGACTGATATTTTTGGAGTATATGTGTGTGCGCACAATATCCGTTTTGTTTATCTATCAATATACATCAGGTAGCACATACCTAATAAATAGAAAGTATGGACTTTATTTTTGGCATTCCTATTACCGGCATCCATCTCATTCAATTTCAAACGACCTTATCTACTGGCTTTTATATCTCATATATAAATAAACCTCCTATTAGAATTACAAAAACATGTACAGTTTACGATGGATAAATTGTCGTCTAAATTACGGAAAAATGAAAATAACATTGACATCTCATTTTAACAGATATATTTACCAAAATTACCCAAAATATCCTGAAATACTAAAGAGTAAATTTATTCAATAAAATCGTCATTAGCTTCAACCACAGCCTCCAGACGACTTCGGAATCTTCTGCAACTCTTCTTCACGGTCTCGTTGTTTAAGTTGGTGAATGCTGCCATAATCCTTGCCTTCATTTCATCTTTGGTGTTACAAGAAGTTTTGCTGTTCTCTCGCTCAACTGCTCCCCTCACATAATAATCAAGGTGGTTGAAGTCTGAGGAATAGTTGGCCAGATGTAAGAGGTGATGTGGTCGCAGAAATTGTTTGACAGCCATGACTGGGTTCTCTTGTTTGTGTGGCATAGTGCAGAACCCTGTTGCCAGACATAGGTTCTTCCAGCAGCCACACTCTTGACCCAGGGCCACAATAGTTTCTCAAGGCACCTGATGTAAGTCTCCGTGTTTAGTCTGAGGTACCGTGGTAAGATGAATGGAGACATCATGTGGCCATCGATAGTGATCGATCCAAACTCCTCAATAATCCCTATTAGACTTATACAACTCTTTCCGAATCCTCTGCACTGTCCTCAGATTGACACTCAAACACTCTGAAATATTTGTATTTGAGCTTCCGGCTCTTTATCTCACAGACGGTGCCCAACTGACCCTACTAAACTGTGCAGTCGACAAAATCAAAAACAAACAACGCGCATACGCGAAATTAAAAATTAAAAATGACGACAATTTTCCCATCGCACCCTGTACACGTCAGTGCATAAATTCTCTATCTCTTTCAGACCATATAACAGATTATGCAGTCTCTTTACATTTGGGCTTGAAAGTCATTTTGGCAAAAATCGTTAAAAATGTGACCCGGTGCGTCTTGCGGGTGAGTGATGACGGTATTTGCGTGGCAAGTGCCTGGACGCATCAGGTGGCCGAAAACAAAATCTTTTGAAGAATGAACAACGTCAACATTAGGTGATTGATATACAATGGCATTAAGAAAAATGCAATATATAAACAGTGAAACCGCAGCAGAAGACGATATAAAACTCAACATGAGCAATTTTATGAGAAACTAAACGATAAAAAAGAAAGAAAAAAGTTGTTTATTATGCTGCCATAATCCTTGCCTTCAGTTCATCTTTGGTGTTACAATGAGTTTTGTTGGTTTCTCACTCAACTGCACCCCACACATAATAATGGGTGATGTGGTCGCAGAAATTGTCTAACATCCATGACTGGGTTCTTCTGCTTTTGTGTCATGGTGCAGAGTCCTGTTGTCAGACATTGGGTCTTCCTTGACCCAGGGCAACACTACCTCCTCAAAGCACCTGATGTAGGCATCTTTGTTGAGTCTGAGGCACTGTGGGAAGATGAATGGTGGCATAATGTCGCCACCACTAGTGAGAGATGATCAAAAAGAAATTATATGGAAGCGACAGCGAGTGAGAGAAACTGAAAAAGGAGAAAATCAGTGGAAGGAGGCAAGCACATGGCCGGTCTTCAAGAACGTGGGCGAGCGATCCTCTCCTCTTACTATAGACCTATCAGTCTCTTCAGTATCATCAGTAAGCTTTTTGAAGCTTGAATCAACAAGAACGTGGTCGAGCATTTACATAGGAACAACATCCTGTGCGACGAGCAGTATAAATTTCGATCGGACCGATCCACTGCTGACGTCCTAACTACCATTACACACAGACTTAGTCAGGTTTCTGATGACAGACACACCTCGAAGACCATAGAATTAGGTATCTCGATTGCCTTCGGCAAGGTTTACCATAAAGTTTTGCTGCACAAGCTCTCCAGCTGTAAAATCACTGAAAAGGTTTTCTCAATTATAAAATACTTCCTAACAAGTAAATCCCTGAAGATAGTTATTAACGACCAGTCCTCTGAAGCCATGGCGGTCAACGCAGATGTCTTCCAGAGGCCACTTCTCTAACCAACCCTCTTTCTGATTTACATAAAGGATCTGCCTAAGAATATACTCAGATCATTTGTAAACATTTATGCCGATGATACGACGATATACGGTTGCACTTCCAAAACTCTTGACGATCAGAGATTGGCAGCTGACCTCTCTTCCGATCTTATACTAATTTCCTGAAAACTGACCGGTTACATTCAATGCTTCGAAAACCAAACTAGTTACATTCCATCACCGCCGATCAGACCCCGAACGGATGTCCCCTCGAGGAGGCTCAGTGCCTCGAGAGAATATTGGGACTCAAATTAACACTCGACCACAAGTGGAACTCCTATATGCGATCGATCTCTAAAGACGCAGGTAAAATGATTAGCTTCCTGTATTGCTCCAGTAAGTACCTGACTTCTCATGCTATCCTCTACCTTTATATTCCATCGGTGAGTTCCACTCAAACAGCTTCTTGCGAACCACTGCTCTGTGGAACAGACTCCCAAGAGGATGTTCCCCCGATCATTACAATCTTAACCTCTTCAAGTCTAGAGTTAACCGTTATCTTCCACTCCTAACCATATAAACTAACCCTTAACGCAACCCTCTAGTTCGAGTAGCCCGGGCCTTGTACAGGGTAAATATTATTGTGAAAAAAATGATGAAGTAAAAATAAAAAGCCGGAAAAATTCTAAATTCTGGAAGTTTTAGGAGCGACTGCCGTAGTGTAATTATTTTTGATCTGTGTTCTGTCAAACCATTTCTAGTGATTTCTATCCTCACCAAAAGCCGCCCTATGTAGCCTTGTGCCAGACTAAATTTAGTAAATAAATTTACCTCATGGCTGACCTACAATCTTAATCTCTTCAAATCAATAGTGAATCGCCATCTTCTCTCCTCATATCACTTTCCTATCACCTCATTTTTCATACATATAACATCTATTGGATAAATATTACTACTTACAAAAAAGTTACTTACTTCCCACTATAGCACCAATGAGAAGTGTTCAAGCCTATATGAAAAGCCCCAATTTCGGGTCTTTCAATGCATTTCATCTGGAAAATCGGCGCAGTACAATACTGTTTCTCTTTTAACCTCCCCATGGTCTTGTGCCAGAAAACTAATGAGCCTCTTATCTAAGTTTATATTCGACGAAAAATGACAGGAGAGAAATAAAACGGAGATTGAGAGAAAGAAAAAAGAAGAGAATAAAAAGAAAATAACCATTTTACGGGAAATACTGTGAAGAAAACTAAAATGGAAATACAGGAAAAGGAGAAAAGAGAGAGAGAGAAGAGGAAAGCGAAAGGGGGAAATAGAGAGAGAGAAGAGGAGAGCGAAAGGGGGAAAGAGAGTAACAGAGTAAAGAGAAATAACAAGGTGAAGAGAAAATAAGAAAGAGTATAGGGGAGAAAGAGGCATAGAAAATAGAAAAAGAAGTAAAAAGAGGAAAAGGAGTTCAAAGAGAGCAATAGAAAGAAAATAATAATGACCACAACAATAATAATATGACGACAACCTGCCAGATACTTCTCCTTTGGACAATTGCCTGAATCCGGTATTATGACTGTGACATGATAATATGACCAAAGATGACCTCTCCTCCTCAGCATCAAAGATGTCCTGGACAAGATAATTAAACTTATGAGATATCCAAAAGATTTCACTCTTCGCTAGAATGGCATCATATTTCTCTATATATATACCGAAGCATGGTGTCTTTGCTTCCAAATTGAAATCATTTGACTGTAAGGTTTGCAGGTTGCTATTTTTATGCCTATAGTTGCAGCTTTGAAGATCAGAAAGGATATTCCAGAATCCTTATAGAACGGAAAAAGGAAAACAGAAATAGGGAAAAGAAAAGAAAATGAGATAAATGAAAGAGGGAGAAGGCAAGAACAGGCGTTTAGAGTAGTTCATCGAGAGACCTCACATATACATATATATACTTCAGTAGTTGATCGTGAAATCTCATTATATATATATATATATATATATATATATATATATATATATATATATATATTATAAATTAACTGATTTAAATTTTTTTTTCGCCACACAGTTCTAACCATGTTTCAAAAATGGAAGCTAAAAGCTTCGAATTTAATTTTGTAATTCAATTAAAGACATTAGTTCCATTTCATCCTCAAGCGAATTTTGGAGTAACTTATTTTTAAATTTACTGAGTTTTAATATTAATGATCTGTAAATTTACATTGAGCACTATTTTGTAAAAATAAAAATATCTATAAGAACACCGGATTATATATCTTACTGTTCTCTCTCTATCTATCTATCTATATATATATATATATATATATATATATATATATATATATATATACTTCAGTAGTTGATTGAGAGACTTATATTTCAGTTGTTGATCAGTCAGTCAGTTATGTGCCATGCGTGATACACGCTTAGGCGATCATGTATCTTTCGATACATGACTTATGAGGCAGATTTTTCCCGCAGTAGGTTGCAATTTTTTCTGTGGTAGACCAGTTGCCATCCAAGGCTAGAGAACCCGGTGTGTCCTGCTATTTGCTATATTGTAGAAGAGGACTCATACCTTTCCCAAGGGTATTAGCACGTAAGTGAATGTAATGGATTCAACGGAAATTCGAACTCGGCTCTCCGATTCCTCAAACCGAGCCGCTATCCATTGCTCCACCATGAGAGACTTTTATTCTCATCAGAGAGAAGGAAAATGGTTTTAAGCTAGAGTCGAAGAAATTGAAGTCGAAAATGTAAAATCCAAATTCGCAATATATATATATATATATATATATATATATATATATATATATATATATATATATATATATATATATATATATATATATATATATATATATATATCGTTTCACGCTTTTGCGATCATCATCTGATTCTTTATTTAAAAATTGAATCTATTTATGTTAGTTTGTTTTTGATTATGTTTGGTGGTGGTGGAATTCTCCTCTGTGTTCGTTTTGGCATGACACTCATACGCACTCAGACATACATACATACATACCTACAGGTGTGTGTGTATATATATATATATATATATATATATATATATATATATATATATACACACTGTATATATATATATATAAAACACACCTGTATATATATATATATATATATATATACACACACACTGTATATATATATATATATATATATATATATATATATATATATATATATATATATATATATATACACTAACAAGAAAAAAGAAAGAGTGTGACTAAAGACGAATAAAATATGAACATATATTAATTACTACAGTATTAAAACAAAAGGATTGATCGGTCATGTAATAGTCAATGACGGCATCCAATTTATCTTTCCACTCTATGCCCCAGAGTGAAAAGAAAAATTATATGAAACTTGCCGCTGAAAGGTTGAAGCAACACAAAGACGACAGGAGACATGGTAAACTTAACTATTTTATTCAAACTACCGCTCGATACGTTCTGCTCCCAGCATCACCTAATGGGTCCGGAAGTGCTTACAACCATCATGATCATAATCAACATTATCGATATTGTTATAAACTAGACTAAAGAATCAATTATTAATTTTCGACTAACATTTGCTACCATTTAAGTTTCTTTTCATCATAACTACTGCGACGGTTAGTAAACAGGAAAGATTGAATATAAAGAAAAGATTTTCAACATCAATACATTTTTAACTCGACAGTTGTTATTCATTGATTTACAAAAGACGATAAAATAAAAATTAAGATATTAATAAAGCTCTCGCTTTGTTCATTGAGATGGTGGAAGGGGGAGAAATAGAGGCAGAACAATGGATGAGACTTCCTTCTTTCAAGCCATGTCGGTTGAACAAATGACAATCTTTGCTTCTTTCAAATTGACCACCTGCAATAATGTGGATATAGTGTCCTGCCATTCGTCTTTATGCGCTGGGCACATAGACATCCACAAAAAGAATACTCACGAACACTCCCTTGAGAGGGAATGTTTTCAACACTGATTAGCCGTTGTGTCGTACTTGTTATGTTACATTATATCCGTTTCATCATTAAAACCACCATCCTGACGGGTAAGTCACGCGACTAGATTTCGTGACCTACCATCATACGGCCACGTGTTTCACCAACGTTTCCTCTAAACATTATATATATTATATATATATTTATATATATATATATATATATATATATATATATATATATATATATATATATATATATATATATATATATATATATATATATATATATATATATATATATATTATATATTTATATATATATTATATATACCAACGTTTCCTCTAAACATTATATATATATATATATATATTTATATATATATATATATATATATATATATATATATATATATATATATATATATATATAATATATTTTCTATTATACATACACACAAAAATATATGCATATATCTATACATACACGCATATACATATTTATATATACCAGATCGACTCTAATCATCAATGTTTGTCGTGCACATTACAATCTTTAACAAAATATACTATTGGTATAACTTAGATGCTAAAATGATTACTTTACTCTAACTAAAATATTTTTTAAAATTTCTATGCAAGAAAATAAAAAAGAAACACACATTTCGGTATATAGGGTTAGGGTTAGCTGAATACACTAGACAGATATGTTAGTTTTTTTTCTATTTAAATAACGTGTGCATATTTGCGTTCGTGTGTTTATGTATCTCCCTGGTTGTTAGTTTTTAGTTTAATTTTTTGTATGTTTATGATCAGTACTGCTGATTGATATCGTATTTCGAATGAATACAATATGGGAACCAGTAATAAGGAGTGCCCGAGAAAAGCAATAATAATAACGAAAATTGCAATATGAGCTCTGGTAAAAACATGTAATGATAACAGTAAAAATTGCAATATCAGCACTAAAAAAATGGTTGCTGAAGACATTATGTTTATAATACCGAGAAATGCTTTAAGGACACATGGCACAGTGGATAAAGGCGTTAGTTAGATCCAGTGACAGTACCCAAAGAGTTCAATACCTGGTTAAGGCCGTGGAGAACCTTCAGAGGTGAATTAACAGGAGATAACTGATAACTGACATCTATTAGGCATGGCACTAGAACAGTCTACCGAGCGAAATAAAGGATTCAATTCGACATTCCAACCAACCAAAAAATGTAGAAGGTCGAAACGCTGTGATAAATATGGCAAATAAAGATGAGGATGCACATGAATGTCTGAACAATATAAGTAGTGTATATATATATATATATATATATATATATATATATATATATATATATATATATATATATTCAAGTATACACACACATATAAGCACCATATATATATATATATATATATATATATATATATATATATACATCTTAGATAGATAGATATTTGAAGCATGTATATATTATTAATACTGTTATGTAAAAAAACAGAGCATTTACTTAAATAAATTGTATCTATCAAAAAATAACGTATAAATAGAAACTATATTAAATAATTGTCGGACTTATATATATATATGCCTGTTCTTACCGAAGTGTCTTTCGTCAGTACTTTCACTGGGATGGACAGCAGCATACCCTCCAGTTGTTAATCCAACTTAATTATTTTTGATATAAAAAAGGATAATGTCACTATATATATATATATATATATATATATATATATATATATATATATATATATATATATTTTATATATATATACGCATGCATATTTACATATATATATACACACATAGATATATATACACATTCAGATATATATATACATACATATACATATACATACATATGTATACACACATACATATGTATACACATACATATCTTTGCACGCATATATATATACGCATACATATATATGCATATATATATACGTACATATATATATATACATACATATATATACACACATACATATATATACACACGTACATATATATACACATAACATATATATATATATCCATATATATACATACATCATATACACATGCATATATATACACATATATATGTATGTATATATATATATATATATATATATATATATATATATATATATATATATATATACACATGACGCAGGTAACTCCATGAGATATTTGGAAACGGCATGCTGAACTGTTTGACTTTCTCACCTGAACCTCCAATACGAACATTTCAGTGTATTTGTGTGTCAATCTTAGCACAGTGCAGGGGATGCGGAAAAGAATTGGATGAGTTTAATGGTGTTAGCAAGGCGTTTGGAGTGATCACTAATGATGGCGGCTTTATACCCCCAGTCATCTTACCACAGGGTTTCAGACTCAATTTGAAGGCCTACATCAAGTGCCTTGAGAAGGTAGTGCTACTTTGTGTGAAGAGGGTGACTGCTGGAAGACCCTATATCTGGCAACAGAACTCTGATCCAAGACACAAAAGCAGGAGAACTCAGTCATGGCTGTCGGACAATTTCTACAATCACATCGTCCCTTACATCTGACCACCTAAATCTTCAGCCTGTAAACCCCTTGATTATTATGTATTGGGTGCAGTTGAGCGAGAG